AACATTAGATTGTCTATGGTGTGTGTATGTCACCACAGAAATGTATCTTTATGCATTAGACATCCGAAAACATTCATTTTCTCTTGCCAAACCCTTCCACCACCTCTTCCTCCTCCCTCCCATACTTACACTCTCTCTAAATTCTGTTTTTATTTGCAGGTGGGATATTTTCTGTTTTTTTTTTGATTTGTGAGTCTGATGAATTGGATCAATATTTACGATTCAATGGAATAAATTATAACCATGGAATTTTAGTGTTTAAGCCTTTTGTTATATCCTTACTCTGTCCTGGACATTGAGTTCTACCTGGATTCTTCACTTTGGAATTTTTTTTTCTAAAAATATACATGTATATATATTTATATATTTTGCATATGTATGTATATTTACCACTAATATTATCTATCTATCTATCTCTCTCTCTCTCTCTCTCTCTCTCTCTCTAAATGAGTAAAAGCGGTATATGTGTGTGTGTGTGTGTGTGTGTGTGTGTGTGTGTGTGTGTGTGTGGAGAGATAAGTAGAATGAAATTAAAATAGATATAGTGAGAAAGAGAGAGAAAACGATAGCGAGAAAAAGGAAGGAGTGATGAACAGGACGATGAGCAGACTGAAACAAGGAATTAATGTTTGTTCGTGAGATATAAGCAGAAAAGAAATTGTCAGAGTGAAATAACTGGCTGAACAAAAAATAAAGACATTTTGAATATTGGAAGCAGATTTCCTCAAGCAGTATAAAGTAAAAGCGCAAAAAAGTATACGATAGGGAATAATGTATATTTTATAAAAAAAACTCCACAGTTGAAGAATGATTAAAACAACTGGGCTGTATTCATTGTGAGATATTTGGGAAGCTTCCTAAACAGCACAAGATGAGAACTGAATCAAGTTGGTGATAGATAGATAGATAGATAGATAGATAGATAGATAGATAGATCATACTTATTATAAAACCCAGGTTTTGTGTGTGTGTGTTCGTTTATATGTTGGATCGGATTTCCTACATTTTTCAACCGATTTCAACAAAACTTCACAGGACTACGTAAAATTACCTTGCGGTGGTTCTGACAGCGCCGAAAATTGTAAAAACACAATTGTTTTTGCACGAAATCAATTTGAAAACACAATTAAGATGCATTGCGAGAATAAAAGGGGGACAACTCATATCGAGTTATACTTATTATAAAACCCAGGTTCTTTGTGAGTGTGTTTCTGTGTTCGTTTATATATGGGATCGGATTTCCTGCATTTTTCAACCGATTTCAACAAAACTTCACTTCTTTTTTTTTTTTGGCAGGTAGTGTTTCTTATTGTCTTGCACACTTCTTTCTTTATTTTTACATTCAGAATGCTTTAAAAATTCCATTTACAAGACAATTGTTTATAATAAAATTCTATTCATCAATCGATAGACTCATAACGATTGTAAACAATGTTTTGTTTGAGTTTGGGTTTGACCAATTCGTAAAAAAAAAAAATAATTAAGACATGCGTGTCCGTCAACCTTAAACAATAATCTTTGTCAATTTTATTTTTCAGTCTTTATGATGGTCGATACTTGATCTATCTCTTACTGTTACATCCCTGGGCAACGCCGGGCTCTACTGCTAGTAGATAGATAAATTGACAGATAGATAGATAGATAGATAGATAGAGAGAGAGAGAGAGAGAGACAGACAGACAGACAGAGACAGAGAGAGAGAGAGAGAGGGTCACTAAGCTAGAAGCGTTGTACTTGAGATGTGGTGTCGATAGATTTCTTTTCAATGGGAAAGGAAGAGGAAAATCTTATTGTGGGTTGTGACGACTCGGTTATTGGGAACTATACAAGATAAAGTAACGAATTATTAATTATTTATGACACTGAAGAGATGCCGCAGAAATGACAGGACAAATAAAAGATCAGAAAACTCCTAAACGAGAGACATAAAAATAATGAAAAGAAAAAAAATTCAAGAGACAAAAGGATCTGTAGATGATTCATTGGCATAATTGCAATGATGAAAATAGAAGAGGAAAAAAATAAAGAATTCCTATTGATGCCAGTCCATAACAATTCAATAAGAACCAACAATGCAAATTCAAAAATAGAAACATCACATCAAAACTTAGACGATGCAAAGATACACGTACGATTATCAATCACGTAATAAAATAATTCACATGTTAGGCATAAAAGTAGATGATTGGGTGGGAAGGTTCCCCCACTTTTAACATTGCAAATTTATAATGAAAATTAATGGTGTAATTTTATCCGAAAGGTAGCCATCTAGGTAGAGCTCCTTTAGGCTCAAGAGCTATTCAAGGTAGATTATTGTTAAAATGGTTAAGATGAATGGGGCGTGTATAATGAATGAAAGAGGAGTTATAAAGGAAAAGATTATGATGGTAAGGATGATAGATAACTATTAACCCTTGAATTGAAGATGTTTAGATTGTAGTGCGCAAGAAAGCATCTATGGATTTGTTGCAAAGTTAATAGTCTTGAAAAGAAACGATATGCCTGGAACATACTCTTTACATCTATATAATAAATGCGAATGTCAGCGTGTCACACTTTTTCAATTAAAGGGACAGAACGCTCTAACTTTCAATAGCTCATATTAGAGAAATTTTGGATTCGCAAGTTTTGCGATTGTTTTCGGCGATTTTTTACGGGATTTCTGTGACGAAATTTTTTGTACAATAACAATTTTTTATAACTTGGAAATAAATTTTCGAATAATCGAAATTAATTTCGAAATCTAGCGAAAGCCACTCATAAATAAAAAAAAATATTATTGTTACGGAAAAAAAGGACCCACGCACATAAAACTGTATTTAAATTAAATGGCAGCAGAAGAACTATCGTTGAACTTTTAAAAGGTAATCAGAAATATTAATGCAATATTTAAATGCAGCGATCAATTTTGAGCTACTCTGTAGTTTATTGTTGCGTATCGCATACGGCAGCAGTATGCCATGCAGAAAGAAATCTCTCACTACAGAGAGCCAGATTGCAATGAAAAGAGCCAACGTTGCAGCGAGGAAAATGAAGACCCAATTAAAATGTCACCCAGGAGATCTTCCAATGCTGAGAATATGTATTGACTTATGGACTCTCAAACTAGTGAACATGCCGAAGGACAAATCAATAGCCCTCCGCAGGAGCTAGCTTAAATGCCACCCGACAGAGTGGCTTTTAATCTAGTTCAGAATATGGGAGAAATTAGGAGGATTCGACACTTTGGAAGCAGCATGTCGTATCCGTGTTCATAGTTCAGAATTGGTGAAACTTAAAACTAGATCTCATCTAAGAGTTTACCATGAAAAAATAGCGATAGACTTGAAAGCTTGCATCTTTGCGAAACAGGTAAAAGCACTATGGACATGTCCTCCGCCACAAGACTGGGTATAGGATTTTGAATGTTATCAGACTGAAAAGTGAGGAGTGAGCAGCTCAAGTATAGATATCTCAGCATTTAATCTGACTCTTCAGCAATATTATTGGTCCTGATCTGGTATCTCGGCTTCAATCACTTTTCTCACCGCCGTAAAGTTTCATCCCTATGCCTTTTCTAAAAATACTTTCATGGTAATTGTTTAGATGAGATCTTCACTGTGGTACTTAGATGTTATGAATTTAAACGCAGTACTAGATTGGCAACAAGATCTCATCTATTTACAATTGAACAGACAATAAATAACAGGAAGGTCTATGCTAACAGTTTCTTTTCCCGCTTGAGGAACTCTCTTCCGGTCCCGTTATTTCCAGTTAACTTTGATATTTAAAAATTTTAAATGCAATATCAATTTAAATCTAAACTGATTTCCTGTTTACACTTCTTTTGTACTCGCTCATTTGAAATGTTTCTTTTTTCTAATTTTTTTTCACACCTAGTAACCTCTTCTGTCTTAGTGGCTTTGCTGACTTGCTTGGGTTGATTCCGGTTAAGAAAAAAAGAAAAGCATAAAATAAGGAGTCAGTTACTTTCCGGAGCGATAGAATGAGCCAGCTACTTCCAACGTGTATAACAATGGTTTGTATAGATGTGTTCCACTTGACGTCTAGACTGAATTTGAAAGACATTCAAAGCATTGACTTTCATTTAGAGTGCAACCATTCTTCATGAGCGCAAAACAATGCCTCCGAAGCATTTGAACAAGAAAAATGATATAATGGAATATGCATACATCTGTGTTCCCCCTCACTGGAATATGATTGCCTGGTGTCCGTCATAAATACCGACAGACGTGTAAGTACGACAGAGTCAAGAGCATTAGTCTGAGAGCTAAGTCTATAACGACGCCCATTGGACTACGCCATTGATCTACACTTCTTACCTGTGACTACGACGCGTACCAGTCGATTACTGCTATCGTATTCTACTTGGTTATAGTAGCAAAAACCACTTAGCTACTTCGTTCAAATATATCCCTTTCCGGAACATATCAAACAAAAAAAAAAAAAAAAAAACTAAATTTATCTGGGATACTTAAATTTAAAATTTAAACGGATTAACACGCTAACTGGTCAGCCATATGACCTTCGGGTAGACATCGCATCGCTTCCAGAGACACGACTTCCAAAATCGTGAAACCTGCGTATGAGAGTGTACATTTTTTTTTCTGGCGCGTAAAGGCAAGTACGAAATCAGAGAGCACAGTGTCGGCTTTGTCTTCAAACAAAATCTCGCTGTTGAAGTAAGCGCTTGAACACTAAGCCTATACCATAAGACGTTAAAGGATGAATTCTATGGTCAGCTGTCGAAGAAGATACAAACCCTATCGAAAAAAGAAACAGTTGCTTCGCGACCTCAACGCCAAAGTGTGTACAGATGTCTGGGACGGCATGGAATCAGTAAATTGAATGTCAATAGCTAATGCCTGCTCGAGCACTGCTTGTTTCACGAACTATGCGTCACCAACACATATTTCCTGGACAAAGCGACTTCCCACCCCGCGTTTAAAACACTGACATCAGCTAGATTTGATCCTCATGAGACGCAGCTACCCGAGAAACATGCTCTTGAAGCGGTCCTTTCAGAGCACTGATTGTGATACTCTGACTACAACCGAAGAGGATGCATTACCTGAAGCCTCCAGGCGAACAGTGTATCAATGCACCATGATCCAAGGCTCAAACAAATTGGCGATATTGCTCAAGTCTCTGAAGGATGCCCTTAACGCAAACCAACCCCGTGGAACTGTCCAGCAGAGATGGGATACTCTCAAGGACACCAGCCATAGCACTGCACTGGACACTTTCGGGAGGAAACTAGACAAGACACTGAGCTGGTTCGAAGCATGTGCGAATGATATCAACGCGGCCAGCAAGATAACTTTGCATTATTGCAGACAGACACCAACCTCCTAAGACAATGGTGGAAGTTTTGAGGAGAATCAGACACAATGCACAGAAGACATTCAGACGCCGTGCGAGTGACTACTGGTTCAAACTGCGAGGGCATGCAGTTATCACAATGATAGTCACGGTATATATGAAGGCATCCAGAAAGTCATTGGCTCAAAAACAAAACTGCTCTCTATTAATCACCACAGAGATCCTTCCCTGCCCTCCATTAGAATGTCTGACGCTCAACTTCTCGAGAACAACTCTCTGCAGTTGCTCGGTCTCACGTTGACTGCTGACCTGGGATGGAACAAATACATTGAGTCAATGGCTTCGTCCACCGCAAGGAAAGTTGGCTCTCTGTGCCGCGCCAGGAAATTTTTCCCCCTGGAATCGATCCTTCAGATCTACAAATCAACAATTCGCCCTTGCATGGAGTATTGCTGCCATATATGGTCTGGTGCCCCTTCTAATTGCCTCGGGGTTCTTGATAGGCTCCAGAGGCGGATATGCAATATAATTAGCCCTGCTCTGGCATCTCGTCTACAGTCACTTTCTCACAGACGCGCCGTCGCCTCTCTCTGTCTGTTCTACAAATACTTTCATGGTAATTGCTCCGAGGAGCTGCATTCGCTGGTTCCCAGACTTCATGAGTTCAAGCGCCCTACGAGGCTGGCATCCCGCTCTCACACATTCACTGTCGAAACTCCTAAATATAGCCGTCTCTTCTACTCTAATAGCTTCATGTCTCGCACCTCTCGCCTGTGGAACTCCCTTCCATATTCCAGTTTCCCTGAGAGCTATAATCTCCAGCTATTCAAGTGTAATGTCAATCGACATCTCCAGTTGCCTTGATCTATTCACTACCCTTCTCCTCATACCCTCTTCTATCACTCCTATCTGATCTCGCTCTATATTTTCTGTAACCCCTTGCGTCCTAGTGGCTTCCCGCCTTGCTTGGGGTGAAATGCTTAAAAACAAACACACAAAAAAAAAAAATAAAAAATAAAAGGCAACAACGCTGAAATCCCGGGCCGGTGAGATTGTCCAACAGATGGAGAGATGGATGGAGCACTACTCGGAACTGTACTCCAAGGAAAGCTGGATATCGGACGACGCACTAGACACCGTAGCTTGTCTATCGGTCATGGAGAGACTGGAATCATTGCCGACAGCTTGGAAGCTGAGCAGAGCCATTGCAAGTTATCCACGGAAAGGCACCAACACTAGATGGCCATCAATTGCGCGATGGGTGTTCAACTTGACCACTTAAGACCTCGATCTTCTGTCATATTGGCTAGCGACGAGGGCGTACTGAAAAATTAAATTATTGTCAAGCAATAATTAATGCCGCAAATTACAACATGAAACCCAAGGAGAACTTAAACCAGTCCAGACGAAGTTTTTGCTAAAGAAATGCGGAGAATGGTGTGTACGAATATAAAAAGCGATTATCACCCTTTGTTCGCGATGAAGTCACGTGGGTCACGTGACAGCCGCTTAGTGATGTCACTTCATGCAGTGATGAACGTAGCAGTCAGTCAGCTTCCTGAAGTCAAACCTGTTGGAGGTTAAATCTGCCTTCCCCAATTAGCTCCCAGGTGATGCAGCTTACAAGCCCAAATATCTTCCACAGATATAGAATGCTACTATCTCCGGCTCGCAGTCCTCATGTTGGGAAAAACCGAAGACTCGCCGTTTACCCGTTTGCGGAACATAGCATATATATATCCGGTCTGGAATCCTAAATATGGCTTCTCTAGAAACACAGATGAATCTCCATATCATATGTAAGGCCCGATCTCTAAGTTCATTTTTCACAGTGCTTGTTGTACAGACATGTGTTATATTTTCTCTGCGTGGGACACCTGTATATAATTTTGTGTTTGACGTAGCGGCATAAACCTCTCCCTGACAACAAAGCATGTTTGTTATTCCTTTTTCTTTCAGTTATCCCGTTCCGTCCATGAAATTAAGTATTGTTATATCATGGATAAGATAATACCACTAATGGGAAAAACGAAAATGGAAGAATAAACCTTTCTTCCATAAGCTAACCCATTAGGTGGGAGTAATGGCGATAGCTGTCCTGACCTCCAGGGGAAGACATCAGATAATATTGATGCGCCAAAAATCTGTGATTAAATATAAGAAGCGCTATTTTTAAACTGAGGATGTCTCAAAGATGAGAAACAAATAGTGAAGTCAAGATAACGATAGCAAGGTCGATATGAACATCGAGGAAGTATAAATAAGAAATATTAAAAAGCAACATACTGTCACGGAAATACATACGAACGAGTTCTTAAATCAAGGTCTTGCGTCTTGGTTTCATCCGTGTCATTTCCGTTTCACTGTCTTCGGAAGGAAATGCTGCGGCAATTGATTCCTTTCTTAAACTTTTCCTTTGGCATTCTCCGCTTTCCTGAAATTAAATAAATGTAAAAAAAAAAATGTTTTCTAAAGTTTCAAATTGATATTTTTTTTATTTGTTTTTTTCTTCTTTCCAGACGTTTTTATTGCCCTTTTTTTTAAAATTTATTTATCTTTTTAGAGAGATTTCTCGATGAAGACAATTTTATTTTGATTTGGTAGAAATATTTCAGGCAGGCAAAAATGCTTTAGATATTGTGTATCTAGCTACGGTAGTTAACTTAGGCTAGTGAACTCATGTTTTTTGTTATTATTAAAACGTTTCAAATATCTTTCCCTCGGGTCTGTCATAATTAACCTTCAGAGGATATCGAACCAAATTCTTTATTCAATCAACGAGTGAAAATTAGTCTTACTTCAGTATCCATCATAGAGGACATCTGATATCAGTTTATTCTTTATATTTAAGCTTTCATTGTACTGTGGTCGCGAGTATCTTCACCTGGAACAGTTTATATGACTATTTGATCCTGCATAAGGATTAATACATGAAAGCCAGGGATCTATCTAAAATTCACGGAAAAACACTTATTTCGATGGACAGGGGAAAAAAGAAGAAAGATAGAATGGATGGTATATTAAAGGCCAAGTTGTCGACGCTAGTCAAAGTAAATCAGTTTACAATTAATGATGACTTCTTTTCTAAAAAAATGAGGTAAGAAAATAATTTAAAACTCTTGACGATCAGAGATTGACAGCTGATCTCTCTTCCGATCTAACCCTAACTTCCAAGTGGGGAAAACAGTGGCTGGTTACATTCAATGCCCCCCCCCACAAAAAAACTAGTTACATTACATCATCGCTGATCCGACCCCGAAGTGCTGCGAGTCACGTTGAACGGATATCCCACTCGAAGATTCTCCGTGCCTTGAGAGAATATTGGGCCTCAAACTCACACCCAACCTCAAATGGATCGCTTATATACGATCCATCGCTAAGTAAAATGATCGGCTCCCAGTAACGGCTCCACTAAGTCCCTATCTACTCATGCTAACCTCTAACATTATACGACTCAGATCAGGCCCAAAATGGAGTACTGTTGCCAGATTTGGGCCGGAGTTGCCTAGTTCTCACTTTCCAGTCTTGACAGAGTTCAAAAGCGTCTCCAAATCCTTGTTGAAGAAGAATTATTTTCCCCCCACCCCCGAACCGCTCTGTCCCAGGCGGAATGTGGCGAGTCTCTCTCTGCTCTGTAACGACTACCATGGAAAATGCTCGAATGAACTACATTCTTTGTTTCCACCAGGACTAACCTTCACGGAAAGGGCCCGCCATGCCACTAACATAGTAGCAAAACATCAACATTTCGCCCATATTTCATCGGCAAGAAGTAAGTTCCACTCAAACAGCTGTTTCCCACGAACCACTGCACTGTGGACACATTCCAACAAGGATGTTTCCCCGATCACTACAATCAAGTGTTCAAGTCGACAGTTAACCATTATTTTCCTCTCCTATTCATATAAACTACTCCTTACCCTCTATCTCCATGGCTCCCGGGCTTTGTACAAGGTTAATCTTACAGTAAGAAAAGAAAAGAACTTATCTTTTGTGAATTTTGCTCTTTTTATTGTTTTATCATTTTTCTTTCTTTCTTTGTACCGAATACTCTTCTTTCTTTCTTTGTACCGAATACTCTTCTTTCTTTCTTTGTACCGAATACTCTTCTTTCTTTCTTTCTGTGTACCGAATACTCTTCTTTCTTTCTTTCTGTGTACCGAATACTTTTCTTTCTTTCTTTCTTTGTACCGAATACTCTTCTTTCTTTCTTTCTTTTGACCGAATACTCTTCTTTCTTTCTTTCTTTTGACCGAATACTCTTCTTTCTTTCTTTCTTTGTACCGAATATTCTTCTTTTCTTTCTTTCTTTGTACCGGATACTCTTCTTTTCTTTCTTTTATCAGAATACTCTTCTTTTCTTTGTATCTTTTCTTTCTTTCCGATACTCTTCTTTCTTTCTTTCTTTGTACAGAATACTCTTCTTTCTTTCTTTCTGTGTACCGAATACTCTACATCCTTTCTTTCTTTTGACCGAATACTCTTCTTTCTTTCTTTCTTTGTACCGAATACACTTCTTTCTTTCTTTCTGTGTACGGAATACTCTTCTTTCTTTCTTTCTTTTGACCGAATACACTTCTTTCTTTCTTTCTTTGTACCGAATACTTTTCTTTCTTTCTTTGTACAGAATACTCTTCTTTCTTTCTTTCATTGTACCGACTACTCTTCTTTCTTTCTTTCTTTGTACTGAATACTCTTCTTTCTTTCTTTCTGTGTACCGAATACTCTTCTTTCTTTCTTTCTTTGTACCCAATACTCTTCTTTCTTTCTTTCTTTGTACCGAATACTCTTCTTTCTTTCTTTGTACCGACTACTCTTCTTTCTTTCTTTCTGTGTACCGAATACTCTTCTTTCTTTCTTTCTTTCTGTGTACCGAATACTCTTCTTTCTTTCTTTCTTTGTACCGAATACTCTTCTTTCTTTCTTTGTACCGACTACTCTTCTTTCTTTCTTTCTGTGTACCGAATACTCTTCTTTCTTTCTTTCTTTGTACCGAATACTCTTCTTTCTTTCTTTCTTTTGACCGAATACTCTTCTTTCTTTCTTTCTTTTGACCGAATACTCTTCTTTCTTTCTTTGTACCGAATACTCTTCTTTCTTTCTTTCTTTGTAAAGAATACTCTTCTTTCTTTCTTTCTTTGTACCGGATACTCTTCTTTCTTTCTTTGTATCGAATACTCTTCTTTCTTTCTTTGTACCGAATACTCTTCTTTCTTTCTTTGTACCGAATACTCTTCTTTCTTTCTTTCTGTGTACCGAATACTCTTCTTTCTTTCTTTCTGTGTACCGAATACTCTTCTTTCTTTCTTTCTTTTGACCGAATACTCTTCTTTCTTTCTTTCTTTTGACCGAATACTCTTCTTTCTTTCTTTCTTTTGACCGAATACTCTTCTTTCTTTCTTTCTTTGTACCGAATACTCTTCTTTCTTTCTTTCTGTGTACCGAATACTCTTCATTCTTTCTTTCTTTTGACCGAATACTCTTCTTTCTTTCTTTCTTTGTACCGAATACTCTTCTTTCTTTCTTTCTGTGTACCGAATACTCTTCTTTCTTTCTTTCTTTTGACCGAATACACTTCTTTCTTTCTTTTGTTTGTATTTTCTTTTTACTTTGTAGAATACTCTTCTTTTCTTTTCTTTCTTTGTGCCCGAATACTCTTCTTTCTTTCTTTTTTCTGTGTACAGAATACTCTTCTTTCTTTCTTTCTTTCTTTGTACCGAATACTCTTCTTTCTTTTCTTTTCTTTTTTACCAGAATACTCTTCTTTCTTTCTTTCTTTGTACCGAATACTCTTCTTTCTTTCTTTCTTTTGACCGAATATTCTTCTTTCTTTCTTTCTTTGTACCGAATAATTTTCTTTCTTTCTTTGTACAGAATACTCTTCTTTCTTTCTTTCTTTGTACCGACTACTCTTCTTTCTTTCTTTCTTTGTACCGAATACTCTTCTTTCTTTCTTTCTGTGTACCGAATACTCTTCTTTCTTTCTTTCTTTGTACCCAATACTCTTCTTTCTTTCTTTCTTTGTACCGAATACTCTTGTTTCTTTCTTTGTACCGACTACTCTTCTTTCTTTCTTTCTGTGTACCGAATACTCTTCTTTCTTTCTTTCTTTCTGTGTAACGAATACTCTTCTTTCTTTCTTTCTTTCTTTGTACCGAATACTCTTTTTTTTTTTCTTTGTACCGAATACTCTTCTTTTTCTTTCTTTGTACCAGTTACTCTTCTTTTTCTTTCTTTCTGTGTGACGAATACTCATCTTTCTTTCTTTCTTTGTACCGAATACTCTTCTTTCTTTCTTTCTTTTGACCGAATACTCTTCTTTCTTTCTTTCTTTTGACCGAATACTTTTCTTTCTTTCTTTGTACCGAATACTCTACATTCTTTCTTTCTGTGTACCGAATACTCTTCTTTCTTTCTTTCTGTGTACCGGATACTCTTCTTTCTTTATTTGTATCGAATACTCTTCTTTCTTTCTTTGTACCGACCGAATACTCTTCTTTCTTTTCTTCTGTACCGAATACTCTTCTTTCTTTCTTTTCTTTTCTTTCTTTCTTTCTTTTGACCAATACTCTTCTTTCTTTCTTTCTGTGTACCGAATACTCTTCTTTCTTTCTTTCTTTTGACCGAATAATCTTCTTTCTTTCTTTCTTTGTACCGACTACTCTTCTTTCTTTCTTTCTGTGTAACGAATACTCTTCTTTCTTTCTTTCTTTTGACCGAATACTCTTCTTTCTTTCTTTCCTTCTTTGTACCGAATCCTCTTCTTTCTTTCTTTCTTTTGACCGAATACTCTTCTTTCTTTCTTTCTTTGTACCGAATAATTTTCTTTCTTTCTTTGTACAGAATACTCTTCTTTCTTTTTTTTCTTTCTTTCTTTCTTTCTTTTGAACGAATACTCTTCTTTCTTTCTTTCTTTCTTTTACCAGATACTCTTCTTTTCTTTCTTTTCTTTGTACCGAATACTCTTCTTTCTTTCTTTTGTACCGAATACTCTTCTTTCTTTCTTTTGTACCAGAATACTCTTCTTTCTTTTTTCTTTCTTTCTTTCTGTGTACCGAATACTCTTCTTTCTGTCTTTCTTTGAACAGAGTACTCTTCCTTCTTTCTTTCTTTGTACCGAATACTCTTCTTTATTCTTTGTACCGAATACTCTTCTTTCTTTGTACCGACAACTCTTCTTTCTTTCTTTCTGTGTACCGAATACTCTTCTTTCTTTCTTTCTTTGTAACGAATACTCTTCTTTCTTTCTTTCTTTGTACCGGATACTCTTCTTTCTTTCTTTGTACTGAATACTCTTCTTTCTTTCTTTGTACCGACTACTCTACATTCTTTCTTTCTGTGTACCGAATACTCTTCTTTCTTTCTTTCTTTGTAACGAATAATCTTCTTTATTTCTTTCTGTGTACCGAATACTCTTCTTTCTTTCTTTGTACCGAATACTCTTCTTTCTTTCTTTCTGTGTACCGAATACTCTTCTTTCTTTCTTTCTGTGTACCAATACTCTTCTTTCTGCTTTTTTTGACTTTCTTTCTTTCTTTCTTTTGACCGAATACTCTTCTTTCTTTCTTTCTTTTTTGTACCGAATACTCTTCTTTCTTTCTTTCTTTTTTACCGAATACTCTTCTTTCTTTCTTTCTTTTGTACCGAATACTCTTCTTTTTTTCTTTCTTTCTTTGTACCGAATACTCTTCTTTCTTTCTTTTGACCGAATACTCTTCTTTCTTTCTTTCTTTTACCGAATACTCTTCTTTCTTTCTTTCTTTCTTTTGTCCGAATTTCTTCTTTCTTTGTGCCAGATTCTTTTTCTTTTCTTTCTTTGTACCAGGCCTCTTCTTTCTTTCTTTCTTTGTACCAGATACTCTTCTTTCTTTCTTTCTTTTGACCGAATACTCTTCTTTCTTTCTTTCTTTCTTTTTTTCCGAATACTCTTCTTTCTTTCTTTCTTTTTGTACCGGATACTCTTCTTTCTTTCTTTCTTTGTACAGAGTACTCTTCTTTCTTTTTTCTTTCTTTCTTTCTTTTTTCTTTCTGTGTACCATCTTTCTTTCTTTCTTTCTTTGCCGATACTCTTCTTTCTTTCTTTCTTTGTAACGAATACTCTTCTTTCTTTCTTTTTTTGTACCGAATACTCTTCTTTCTTTCTTTCTTTTTCTTTCTTTGTACTCTTCTTTCTTCTTTCTTTCTTTGTACCGAATACTCTTCTTTCTTTCTTTCTTTTGTACCGATAATCTTCTTTCTTTCTTTCTTTGTACCAGATACTCTTCTTTCTTTCTTTGTGACCAATACTCTTCTTTTCTTTCTTTTCTTTCTACCAGAATACTTTTCTTTCTTTCTTTTTTACCAAATACTCTTCTTTCTTTCTTTCTTTCCCGAATACTCTTCTTTCTTTCTTTCTACTGAATTTCTTTCTTTTTTTGTACCAGAATACTCTTCTTTCTTTTCTTTTGTACCTTCTTTCTTCTTTCTTTTTTGTACTCTACTTTCTTTCTTTCTTTCTTTGTACCGAATACTCTTCTTTCTTTCTTTCTGTTGTACCGAATACTCTTCTTTCTTTCTTTCTTTGTACCAGGCCTCTTCTTTCTTTCTTTCTGACAACCTTTACTCTTCTTTCTTTCTTTGTACCAGATACTCTTCTTTCTTTCTTTCTTTGTGACCAGATACTCTTCTTTTCTTTCTTTCTTTGTACCGAATACTCTTTTCTTTCTTTCTTTTGTACCGAATACTCTTCTTTCTTTCTTTCTTTTACCGAATACTCTTCTTTCTTTCTTTTTTCTTTGTACCAGAATACTCTTCTTTCTTTCTTTCTTTTTGACCGAATACTCTTCTTTCTTTCTTTTCTTTGTACAGAATACTCTTCTTTCTTTCTTTCTTTGTACCAGATACTCTTCTTTCTTTCTTTCTGACCAATACTCTTCTTTCTTTCTTTCTTTGTACCGAATACTCTTCTTTCTTTCTTTCTTTTGTACCAAAATACTCTTCTTTCTTTTTTCTTTCTTTTGAACTTTTCTTTCTTTCTTTGTACCAATTTTCTTCTTTCTTTCTTTGTACCGAATACTCTTCTTTCTTTCTTTCTTTGTACCGAATACTCTTCTTTCTTTCTTTCTTGTACCGAATACTCTTCTTTCTTTCTTTCTTTTTACCAGATACTCTTCTTTCTTTCTTTCTTTTGTCCGAATACTCTTCTTTCTTTCTTTCTGTTGTACCGAATACTCTTCTTTTCTTTCTTTCTGTGTACCGAATACTCTTCTTTTCTTTCTTTTCTTTGACCGAATACTTTTCTTTCTTTTCTTTCTTTTGGACCGAATACTTTCTTTCTTTCTTTGTACCATTTACTCTTTCTTTCTTTCTTTTGTACCGAATACTCTTCTTTCTTTCTTTCTTTGTACCCATAATTTTTCTTTCTTTTCTTTGTACCGAATACTCTTCTTTCTTTCTTTCTTTGTACCGAATACTCTTCTTTTCTTTCTTTCTTGTACCGAATACTCTTCTTTCTTTCTTTCTTTGTACCGAATACTCTTCTTTCTTTCTTTCTTTTTTTTACCAGAATACTCTTCTTTCTTTCTTTCTTTGTACCAATACTCTTCTTTCTTTCTTTCTTTGTACCAGATACTCTTCTTTCTTTCTTTCTTTGTACCGAATACTCTTCTTTCTTTCTTTCTTTGTACCGATACGAATCTTTCTTTCTTTCTTTGTACCGAATACTCTTCTTTCTTTCTTTCTGTGTACCGAATACTCTTCTTTCTTTCTTTTCTTTGTACCGAATACTCTTCTTTTTTTCTTTGTACCGGATTCTTCTTTCTTTGTACCGAATACTCTTCTTTCTTTCTTTCTTTGTACCGAATACTCTTCTTTCTTTCTTTCTTTGTACCGAATACTCTTCTTTCTTTCTTTCTTTGTACTGAATACTCTTCTTTCTTTCTTTTCTTTTTTTCTTTCTTTGTACCGATTACTCTTCTTTTCTTTCTTTCTGTGTACCAGAATACTCTTCTTTCTTTCTTTCTTTTGTACCAGATACTCTTCTTTCTTTTCTTTCTTTGTACCGAATACTCTTCTTTCTTTCTTTGTCTTTACTTTCTTTCTTTCTTTGTACCGAATACTCTTCTTTCTTTCTTTCTGTGTACCGAATACTCTTCTTTCTTTCTTTCTTTGTACCGAATACTCTTCTTTCTTTCTTTCTGTGTACCGAATACTCTTCTTTCTTTCTTTGTACCGAATACTCTTCTTTCTTTCTCTGTACCGAATACTCTTTTTTTCTTTCTTTCTTTTTTCTTTGTACCGAATACTCTTCTTTCTTTCTTTTGTGTACCGAATACTCTTCTTTCTTTCTTTCTTTTGACCGAATTTCTTTCTTTCTTTCTTTGTACCAGATACTCTTCTTTCTTTCTTTCTTTGTACCGAATACTCTTCTTTCTTTCTTTCTTTTTACCGAATACTCTTCTTTCTTTCTTTTCCTTTCTTTTGTACCGAATCCTCTTCTTTCTTTCTTTCTTTTTACCAGATACTCTTCTTTCTTTCTTTCTTTGTACCAGAATAATTTTTTCTTTCTTTCTTTGTTTACTCTTCTTTCTTTTTTCTTTTTACCGGATACTCTTCTTTCTTTCTTTCTTGTACCAGATACTCTTCTTTCTTTCTTTGTATACTCTTCTTTCTTTCTTTCTTTTTGTGTACCGAATACTCTTCTTTCTTTCTTTGTACCGAATACTCTTCTTTCTTTCTTTCTGTGTACCAGGCCGAATACTCTTCTTTCTTTCTTTTCTTTGAACAAATACTCTTCTTTCTTTCTTTCTTTGTACCGAATAATCTTCTTTTCTTTCTTTGTACCACAAATCTCTTTCTTTCTTTCTGTGTACCAGATACTCTTCTTTCTTTCCTTTCTTTGTAACAGAATACTCTTCTTTCTTTCTTTCTTTGTACCAGAATACTCTTCTTTCTTTCTTTGTACTTACTCTTCTTTCTTTCTTTTGTACTGAATACTCTTCTTTCTTTCTTTCTTGTACCGATACTCTTCTTTCTTTCTTTCTTTGTAACGGATAATCTTTTTCTTTCTTTGTACAGAATAACTTCTTCTTTCTTTCTTTGTACCGAATACTCTTCTTTCTTTCTTTCTTTGTACCGAATACTCTTCTTTTCTTTCTTTCTTTGTACCAAATTTCTCTTTTTCTTTCTTTCTTTTTTGTACCGAATACTCTTCTTTCTTTCTTTGTACCGAATACTCTTCTTTCTTTCTTTCTTTTGACCGAATACTCTTCTTTCTTTCTTTCTTTCTTTACCGAATACTCTTCTTTCTTTCTTTCTTTTGACCGAATACTTTCTTTCTTTCTTTCTTTTTGACCAGAATACTCTTCTTTCTTTCTTTCTTTTGACCGAATACTCTTCTTTCTTTCTTTGTACCGAATACTCTTTTTCTTTCTTTCTTTGTACCGAATACTTTCTTTCTTTCTTTCTTTTGTACCGAATACTCTTCTTTTCTTTCTTTCTTTTACCGAATACTCTTTTTTTTTTCTTTCTTTGTACCAGACTTTTCTTTTTCTTTCTTTGTACCAATACTCTTCTTTCTTTTTTTCTTTGTTGACCAATACTCTTCTTTCTTTCTTTCTTTGTACCAGATACTCTTCTTTCTTTCTTTCTTTGTACCAGAATACTTTTCTTTCTTTCTTTCTTTGTACCGAATACTTTTCTTTCTTTCTTTGTACCGAATACTCTTCTTTCTTTCTTTTTCTTTTTTAACGAAATACTCTTCTTTTTTCTTTCTGTGTACCGAATACTCTTCTTTTCTTTCTTTCTTTGACAAATACTCTTCTTTCTTTCTTTCTTTGTACCAATACTCTTCTTTCTTTCTTTCTTTGTACCGAATACTTTTTTCTTTCTTTTCTTTTCTGTGTACCAGATACTCTTCTTTCTTTCTTTCTTTTTGAAGATACTCTTCTTTCTTTCTTTTTTGCTTTTCGAATACTCTTCTTTTATTCTTTGTACCGAATACTCTTCTTTCTTTTCTTCTTCTTTCTTTCTTTGTACCAGATACTCTTCTTTCTTTCTTTTCTTTGTAACGAATACTCTTCTTTCTTTTTTCTTTTTACTCTTCTTTTCTTTCTTTGTACTGAATACTCTTCTTTCTTTCTTTGTTACTCTTCTTTCTTTCTTTCTGTACCGAATACTCTTCTTTCTTTCTTTCTTTGTAACGAATAATCTTCTTTATTTCTTTCTGTGTACCGAATACTCTTCTTTCTTTCTTTGTACCGAATACTCTTCTTTCTTTCTTTCTGTGTACCGAATACTCTTCTTTCTTTCTTTCTTTGTACCGAATACTCTTCTTTCTTTCTTTCTTTGTACCGAATACTCTTCTTTCTTTCTTTCTTTTGACCGAATACTCTTCTTTCTTTCTTTCTTTTGACCGAATACTCTTCTTTCTTTCTTTCTTTTCTTTTGACCAATACTCTTCTTTCTTTCTTTTCTTTGTACCGAATACTCTTCTTTTTTCTTTCTTTGTACCAGAATACTCTTTCTTTCTTTCTTTCTTTGACCGAATACTCTTCTTTCTTTCTTTCTTTCTTTTGTACCAGATATCTTCTTTCTTTCTTTTCTTTTGAATACTTCTTTCTTTTTTTCTTTGTACCGAATACTCTTCTTTCTTTCTTTCTTTTGTACCAAATACTTTCTTCTTTTCTTTTTTCTTTCTTTCTACCGAATACTTCTTTTTTTTCTTTCTTTGTACCGAATACTCTTCTTTCTTTCTTTCTTTTGCTTTTGTAACTTTCTTTCTTTCTTTGTACCAGATACTCTTCTTTCTTTCTTTACCGAATACTCTTCTTTTTTTTTCTTTGTACCGAATACTCTTCTTTCTTTCTTTTGTTACCAGATACTCTTTTTTCTTTCTTTGTTTGCTAATACTCTTCTTTCTTTCTTTCTTTGTACCGAATACTCTTCTTTCTTTCTTTGTACCAGATACTTCTTTCTTTCTTTCTTTGCTCTTCTTTCTTTCTTTCTTTCTGTACCATTATACTCTTCTTTCTTTCTTTCTTTGCAGATGTACTCTTCTTTTTTTCTTTCTTCTTTTCTTTCTTTCTTTGTACAGAATACTCTTCTTTCTTTCTTTCTTTGTACCGAATACTCTTCTTTTTCTTTCTTTCTTTGTACCTTTGAATACTCTTCTTTCTTTCTTTTTCTTTGTACCGAATACTCTTCTTTCTTTCTTTCTGTGTGTACCGAATACTCTTCTTTCTTTCTTTTGTACAGATACTCTTCTTTCTTTCTTTGTACCAGAATACTCTTCTTTCTTTCTTTCTGTGACCGATACTCTTCTTTTCTTTCTTTTCTTTGTACCTTTCTTTTCTTTCTTTTTGTTACCATACTCTTCTTTCTTTCTTTCTTTCTTTTGTACCGAATACTCTTCTTTCTTTCTTTCTTTGTGACAGAATACTCTTCTTTCTTTCTTTCTTTGTACCAGATACTCTTCTTTTTTCTTTCTTTGCTTTGACCTCTTCTTTCTTTCTTTTCTTTTCTTTCTTCTTTCTTTCTTTGTACCAGAATACTCTTCTTTTTTCTTTCTTTGTACCGAATACTCTTCTTTCTTTCTTTTTTCTTTGTACCGAATACTCTTCTTTTTTCTTTCTTTTGACCGAATACTCTTTCTTTTTTCTTTCTTTTCCGAATAATTTTTCTTTCTTTCTTTGTACCCGAATACTCTTCTTTCTTTCTTTCTTTTTTGTACTTTTCTTCTTCTTTCTTTCTTTTGACTTTGATACTTCTTTCTTTCTTTTTTTCTGTGTACCAGATACTCTTCTTTCTTTTTTGACTTTACTTTTCTTTCTTTCTTTGTACAGATACTCTTCTTTCTTTCTTTGTACAGAATCTTTCTTTCTTTGTACCGACTACTCTTTTTTCTTTCTTTCTCCGATTACTCTTTTTCTTTTCTTTCTGTGTACCGAATACTCTTCTTTCTTTTCTTTCTTTGTAACCGAATACTCTTTCTTTCTTTCTTTGTACCGAATACTCTTCTTTCTTTCTTTCTTTTGACCGACTACTTCTTTCTTTCTTTCTTTGTACCAGATACTCTTCTTTCTTTCTTTCTGTGTACCAATACTCTTCTTTCTTTCTTTCTTTCTGTGTACCAGATACTCTTCTTTCTTTCTTTCTTTGACTACTCTTTCTTTCTTCTTTCTTTCTTTGTACCGAATACTCTTCTTTCTTTCTTTCTGTGTACGAATACTTTTCTTTCTTTCTTTGTACCAATGCTCTCTTTCTTTCTTTCTTTGTACCCAATACTCTTCTTTCTTTCTTTCTGTACCAAATACTCTTCTTTCTTTCTTTCTGTGTACCGATACTCTTCTTTCTTTCTTTCTTTGTACCAGAATACTCTTCTTTCTTTCTTTCTTTGTACCAGAATACTCTTCTTTCTTTCTTTTCTTTGTACCGAATACTCTTCTTTCTTTCTTTTGTACGAATACTCTTCTTTCTTTCTTTGTACCGACTACTCTTCTTTCTTTCTTTCTGTGTACCGAATACTTACTTCTTTCTTTCTTTCTTTGTACCAGATACTCTTCTTTCTTTCTTTCTTTGTACTTTCTTTCTTTCTTTTGTACCAGATACTCTTCTTTCTTTCTTTTTACCGATTACTCTTCTTTCTTTCTTTCTTTCTTCTTTTTCTTTCTTTTTTTGACTACTTCTTTCTTTCTTTCTTTTTTTCTTTTCTTTTGTACTCTTCTTTCTTTCTTCTTTCTTTCTTTCTTTGTACCAGAATCTCTTCTTTCTTTCTTTCTTTTGACCGAATACTCTTCTTTCTTTCTTTCTTTTTAACAGATACTCTTCTTTCTTTCTTTCTTTGTACCAGATCCTCTTCTTTCTTTCTTTCTTTTGACCAGATACTCTTCTTTCTTTCTTTTTCTTTTGACCACTCTTCTTTTTTCTTTCTTTGTACAGAATACTCTTCTTTTTTCTTTCTTTCTTTTTACCAGATACTCTTCTTTTCTTTCTTTTCTTCTTTCTTTGTACCGAATACTCTTCTTTCTTTCTTTCTTTCTGTGTGCCAGATATACTCTTCTTTCTTTCTTTCTTTTGCCAGATACTCTTCTTTCTTTCTTTGTACCGAATACTCTTCTTTCTTTCTTTCTGTGTACCGAATACTCTTCTTTCTTTTTCTTTCTGTGTACCAGATACTCTTCTTTCTTTCTTTCTTTGTACCAGATACTCTTCTTTTTTCTTTCTTTGTGTACCGAATACTCTTCTTTCTTTCTTTCTTTGTACCGAATACTCTTCTTTCTTTCTTTCTGTACCGAATACTTCTTCTTTCTTTCTTTGTACCAGTCTTTTCTTTCTGTGTACCAGAATACTCTTCTTTCTTTCTTTGTACCGAATACTCTTCTTTCTTTCTTTGTACAGATACTCTTCTTTCTTTCTTTCTGTGTACCAGATACTCTTCTTTCTTTCTTTTTTTTGAATACTCTTCTTTCTTTTCTTTCTTTCTTTGTTTGCGAATACTTCTTTCTTTCTTTTTACCAGATCTTTCTTTCTTTCTTTGTCTTTCTTTCTTTCTTTTTTCTTTTGACCATTACTCTTCTTTCTTTCTTTTTTGTACCGAATACTCTTCTTTTTCTTTTCTTTGTTTCTTTCTGTACTCTTCTTTCTTTCTTTTCTTTGACCCTCTTCTTTCTTTCTTTCTTTTGACCAGAATTTCTTTCTTTCTTTCTTTGTACCAATATACTCTTTCTTTTTTCTTTCTTTCTTTGTACCAAATACTCTTCTTTCTTTCTTTCTTTGTACCGACTCTTCTTTTTCTTTCTTTCTTTCTTTGTACCCGATACTCTTCTTTCTTTCTTTCTTTTGACCGAATACTCTTCTTTCTTTCTTTCTTTTGTACCGAATACTCTTTTTCTTTCTTTTCTTTGTACCGATATACTTCTTTTTCTTTGTACCGACCTCTTCTTCTTTTCTTTCTTTGGCCTTACTCTTCTTTCTTTCTTTCTTTGTACCAGATACTCTTCTTTCTTTCTTTCTTTGTACCAGAATACTCTTCTTTCTTTCTTTTGTTTGCCGAATACTCTTCTTTCTTTCTTTGTACCAGAATACTCTTCTTTTTTCTTTCTTTCTTTGTACCAATACTCTTCTTTCTTTCTTTCTTTTTGACCAGATACTCTTCTTTCTTTCTTTCTTTGTTTGAATACTCTTCTTTCTTTCTTTCTTTCTTTCTACTCTTCTTTCTTTCTTTCTGTGTACCGAATACTCTTCTTTTTTTCTTTCTTTGTACCTTTCTTTACTCTTCTTTCTTTCTTTCTGTGTACCGAATACTCTTCTTTCTTTTCTTTCTTTTGTACCGAATACTCTTCTTTCTTTCTTTTCTTTGTACCAGATACTCTTCTTTCTTTCTTTCTTTGTACCGATACTCTTCTTTCTTTCTTTCTTTGTTGAATACTCTTCTTTCTTTCTTTCTTTGTACCAGATATACTCTTCTTTCTTTCTTTCTTTTGACCGAATACTTTCTTTCTTTCTTTGTACCGAATACTCTTCTTTCTTTCTTTCTTTTGACCACTACTACTCTTCTCTTCTTTCTTTCTTTGTACAGATACTCTTCTTTCTTTCTTTTCTTTTTACCAGATACTTTCTTTTCTTTCTTTCTTTGTACCAGATACTCTTCTTTCTTTCTTTCTGTGTACCAGATACTCTTCTTTCTTTCTTTCTTTGTACCAATACTCTTCTTTCTTTCTTTCTTTGTACCGAATACTCTTCTTTCTTTCTTTCTTTTCTTTGTACCGAATACTTTCTTTCTTTCTTTGTACCGAATACTCTTCTTTCTTTCTTTGTACCGAATACTCTTCTTTCTTTCTTTCTGTGTACCGAATACTCTTCTTTCTTTCTTTTGACCGAATACTCTTCTTTCTTTCTTTCTTTGTACCGAATACTCTTCTTTCTTTCTTTCTGTGTACCGAATACTCTTCTTTCTTTCTTTCTTTTGACCGAATACTCTTCTTTCTTTCTTTCTTTGTACCGAATACTCTTCTTTCTTTCTTTGTACCGAATACTCTTCTTTCTTTCTTTCTTTCTTTCTTTCTTTCTTTGTACCGAATACTCTTCTTTCTTTCTTTGTACCGAATACTCTTCTTTCTTTCTTTGTACCGAATACTCTTCTTTCTTTCTTTCTGTGTACCGAATACTCTTCTTTCTTTCTTTCTGTGTACCGAATACTCTTCTTTCTTTCTTTCTTTGTACCGAATACTCTTCTTTCTTTCTTTCTTTGTACCGAATACTCTTCTTTCTTTCTTTCTTTTGACCGAATACTCTTCTTTCTTTCTTTCTTTGTACCGAATACTCTTCTTTCTTTCTTTCTGTGTACCGAATACTCTTCTTTCTTTCTTTTTTGTACAGAAGACTCTACTTTCTTTCTTTCTTTGTACCGAATACTCTTCTTTCTTTCTTTGTACCGAATACTCTTCTTTTCTTTCTTTCTTTGTACCGACTACTCTTCTTTCTTTCTTTCTTTTTACCAGATACCCTTCTTTCTTTCTTTCTTTTGTACCAATACTCTTCTTTCTTTCTTTTTTGTACCGAATACTCTTCTTTCTTTTCTTTCTTTGTACCGAATACTCTTCTTTCTTTTTTGTACCGACTATCTTCTTTCTTTCTTTCTGTACCAGATACTCTTCTTTCTTTCTTTTTTTTGTACTGAATACTCTTCTTTCTTTCTTTCTTTGTACCGAATACTCTTCTTTCTTTCTTTCTTTGTACCGATACTCTTCTTTCTTTCTTTCTGTGTACCGACTACTCTTCTTTCTTTTTTCTTTCTGTGTACCGAATACTCTTCTTTCTTTTCTTTCTTGTACCAGAATACTCTTCTTTCTTTCTTTCTTTGTACAGATCTTCTTTCTTTTCTTTCTTTCATGTACCGAATACTCTTCTTTCTTTCTTTGTACCGATTACTCTTCTTTCTTTTTTCTTTTGTGTACCAAAATACTCTTTCTTTCTTTCTTTCTGTACCGAATACTCTTCTTTCTTTTTCTTCTTTGACCGAATACTCTTCTTTCTTTCTTTCTTTGTACCGAATACTCTTCTTTCTTTCTTTCTTTGTACCGAATACTCTTCTTTCTTTCTTTCTTTTGACCGAATACTCTTCTTTCTTTCTTTCTTTGTACCGAATACTCTTCTTTCTTTCTTTGTACCGAATACTCTTCTTTCTTTCTTTCTTTGTACCGAATACTCTTCTTTCTTTCTTTCTTTGTACCGAATACTCTTCTTTCTTTCTTTCTTTTGACCGAATACTCTTCTTTCTTTCTTTCTGTGTACCGAATACTCTTCTTTCTTTCTTTCTTTGTACCGAATACTCTTCTTTCTTTCTTTCTTTGTACCGAATACTCTTCTTTCTTTCTTTCTTTTGTACCGAATACTCTTCTTTCTTTCTTTTGTGTACCAGGCCTCTTCTTTCTTTCTTTCTTTGTACCATTCTCTTCTTTTTTCTTTCTTTCTTTTTCTTTCTTTCTGTACTCTTCTTTCTTTCTTTCTTTCTGTGTACCGAATACTCTTCTTTCTTTCTTTCTTTGTACCGAATACTCTTCTTTCTTTCTTTGTACCGAATACTCTTCTTTCTTTCTTTGTACCGAATACTCTTCTTTCTTTCTTTCTGTGTACCGAATACTCTTCTTTCTTTCTTTCTTTGTTCCAGATACTCTTCTTTCTTTCTTTTTTGTACCGACTACTCTTGTTTTTCTTTCTTTTACTTTGCGAATACTCTTCTTTCTTTCTTTCTTTTGTACCACTCTTCTTTTTTTCTTTCTTTTGACCAGAATACTCTTCTTTCTTTCTTTCTTTGTACCAGATACTCTTCTTTCTTTCTTTCTTTGTGCCGAATACTCTTCTTTCTTTCTTTTCTTTTCTTTCTTTCCCGAATACTCTTCTTTTCTTTCTTTCTTTTGTACCGAATACTCTTCTTTCTTTCTTTGTACCGACTACTCTTCTTTCTTTCTTTCTGTGTACCGAATACTCTTCTTTCTTTCTTTCTTTGTACCGAATACTCTTCTTTCTTTCTTTCTTTGTACCGAATACTCTTCTTTCTTTTTTTCTGTGTACCAGATACTCTTCTTTTCTTTCTTTCTTTTGACCATACTCTTCTTTCTTTTTCTTTCTTTGTACCAATAAAATTCTTTTCTTTCTTTACCGATATACTCTTTCTTTCTTTCTTTGTACCGAATACTCTTCTTTCTTTCTTTCTTTGACAGAATACTCTTCTTTCTTTCTTTCTTTTTTGAATACTCTTCTTTCTTTCTTTCTTTGTACCGAATTCTTTCTTTCTTTCTGTGTACCGAAATACTCTTCTTTCTTTCTTTTTTTGTACCAGAATACTCTTCTTTCTTTCTTTCTTTGTACCGAATACTCTTCTTTCTTTCTTTCTTTGTACCAGATACTCTTCTTTCTTTCTTTTTCAATACTTTATTTTTTTCTTTGAGATACTCTTCTTTCTTTCTTTCTTTGTACCGAATACTCTTCTTTCTTTCTTTCTTTGTACCGAATACTCTTCTTTCTTTCTTTCTTTGTACCAGAATCTTCTTTCTTTCTTTTTGTACCGACTACTCTTCTTTCTTTCTTTCTTTGTACCAGATACTCTTCTTTCTTTCTTTCTTTCTTTGTACCTTCTACTTTCTTTTCTTTCTTTCTTTCTGTGTACCAAACCACTTCTTTCTTTCTTTCTTTGTACCGAATACTCTTCTTTCTTTCTTTCTTTGTACCGAATACTCTTCTTTCTTTCTTTCTGTGTTTCCAGATACTCTTCTTTCTTTCTTTCCGAATACTCTTCTTTCTTTCTTTGTACCAGATACTCTTCTTTCTTTCTTTGTACCGGATACTCTTCTTTCTTTTTTCTTTGTACCAGATACTCTTCTTTCTTTTTTCTTTGTACCGAATACTCTTCTTTCTTTCTTTCTTGTACCGAATATTCTTCTTTCTTTCTTTGTACCGAATACTCTTCTTTCTTTCTTTCTTTGTACCGAATACTCTTCTTTCTTTCTTTGTACCGAATACTCTTCTTTCTTTCTTTGTACCGACTACTCTTCTTTCTTTCTTTCTGTGTACCGAATACTCTTCTTTCTTTCTTTCTTTGTACAGAATACTCTTCTTTCTTTCTTTCTTTGTACCGAATACTCTTCTTTCTTTCTTTGTACCGAATACTCTTCTTTCTTTCTTTCTTTTGACCGAATACTTCTTTCTTTTTCTTTCTTTGTTTTGCCAGATACTCTTCTTTCTTTCTTTCTTTTTTGAATACTCTTCTTTCTTTCTTTCTTTCTTTGTACTCTTCTTTTCTTTCTTTTCTGTGTACCCAATACTCTTCTTTCTTTCTTTGTACCGAATACTCTTCTTTCTTTCTTTTCCAATACTCTTTCTTTCTTTCTTTCTGTGTGATACTCTTCTTTCTCTTTCTTTTGACCGAATACTCTTCTTTCTTTCTTTCTTTTTGACAGAATACTCTTCTTTCTTTCTTTCTGTGTACCGAATACTCTTCTTTCTTTCTTTGTGCAGATACTCTTCTTTCTTTCTTTCTTTGTGCACCGAAATACTCTTCTTTCTTTCTTTCTTTGTACCGAATACTCTTCTTTCTTTCTTTCTTTGTACAGAATACTCTTCTTTCTTTCTTTCTTTGTACCGAATACTACTCTTTCTTTCTTTCCGAATTTTCTTTCTTTCTTTGTACCTTCTTTCTTTCTTTCTTTCTGTGGTACCGAATACTCTTCTTTTCTTTCTTTCTTTGTACCGAATACTCTTCTTTCTTTCTTTCTTTGTACCAATACTCTTCTTTCTTTCTTTTCTTTGTACCGAATACTCTTCTTTCTTTCTTTGTACCTGTGTACTCTTCTTTTCTTTCTTTTGACCAGGCCTTTTCTTTTCTTTCTGTGTACCGATACCTCTTCTTTCTTTCTTTCTTTTGTACCGAATACTCTTCTTTCTTTCTTTCTTTACCGAATACTCTTTCTTTCTTTCTTTTGTACGAATACTCTTCTTTCTTTCTTTGTAACAAAATACTCTTCTTTCTTTCTTTCTTTGTACCATACTCTTCTTTCTTTCTTTCTTTGTACCAGAATACTCTTCTTTCTTTCTTTCTGTGTACCAGATACTCTTCTTTCTTTCTTTGTACCGACTACTCTTCTTTTTTCTTTCTTTGTACCAATACTCTTCTTTCTTTCTTTCTTTGTACCAGATACTCTTCTTTCTTTCTTTCTTTACAGAATACTCTTCTTTCTTTCTTTCTTTTGACCAGATACTCTTCTTTCTTTCTTTGTTTTTTGACAGAATACTCTTCTTTCTTTCTTTCTTTTGACCGAATACTCTTCTTTCTTTCTTTTGTGACCAATACTCTTCTTTCTTTTTTCTTTCTTTGTTCCGAATATTCTTCTTTCTTTCTTTTTTGTACCGAATACTCTTCTTTCTTTTCTTTTCTTTCTTTCTTTTGCTGAATACTCTTCTTTCTTTCTTTCTTTGTACCGAATACTCTTCTTTCTTTTCTTTCTTGGTACCGAATACTCTTCTTTCTTTCTTTCTTTGTTCTGAGAATAAAATTCTTTCTTTCTTTGTACCAGATACTCTTCTTTCTTTCTTTCTTTGTACCGATAATCTTCTTTCTTTCTTTCTTTGTACCAGATACTCTTCTTTCTTTTTTTCTTTTGTACCGAATACTCTTCTTTCTTTCTTTCTGTGTACCAGATACTCTTCTTTCTTTCTTTCTTTCTTTCCTGTGTACCGAATACTCTTCTTTCTTTCTTTCTTTGTACCAGATACTCTTCTTTCTTTCTTTGTACCGAATACTCTTCTTTCTTTCTTTCTTTGTACAGAATACTCTTCTTTCTTTTCTTTCTTTGTACCAGAATACTCTTCTTTTCTTTCTTTCTTTTTACCAGATACTCTTCTTTCTTTTCTTTCTGTGTGTCCCAATCTTCTTTCTTTCTTTCTTTGTACCGAATACTCTTCTTTCTTTCTTTCTTTGTACCGAATACTCTTCTTTCTTTCTTTCTTTGTACCGAATACTTCTTTCTTTCTTTCTTTTTTCTTTTTCTTTCTGTGTAACAGATACTCTTCTTTCTTTTCTTTTGTACCAGATACTCTTCTTTCTTTCTTTTCTTTAACACCGAATACTCTTCTTTCTTTCTTTGTTCCCAATACTTTCTTTCTTTCTTTCTTTGTACCGAATACTCTTCTTTCTTTCTTTGTGTACCGAATACTCTCTTCTTTCTTTCTTTCTGTAGATACTCTTCTTTCTTTCTTTCTTTGTACCGAATACTCTTCTTTCTTTTCTTTCTTTTCTTTCTTTGACCAGATACTCTCTTTCTTTCTTTCTTTTTACCGATACTCTTCTTTCTTTCTTTCTTTTACCGAATACTCTTCTTCTTTCTTTCTTTGTACCAGATACTCTTCTTTCTTTCTTTCTTTGTACCAGATACTCTTCTTTCTTTCTTTCTTTGTACCAATACTCTTCTTTCTTTCTTTCTTTTTTTGTAAGATACTCTTCTTTCTTTTTTCTTTGTACCGAATACTCTTCTTTCTTTCTTTCTTTTTGACCAGATACTCTTCTTTCTTTCTTTCTGTGTACCGAATACTCTTCTTTCTTTCTTTCTTTTTACCGAATACTCTTCTTTCTTTCTTTCTTTGTGTGATACTCTTCTTTCTTTCTTTCTTTTGTACCGACTTACTCTTTCTTTCTTTCTTTTTTTTTCTTTGTTGAATACTCTTCTTTCTTTCTTTCTTTGTACCGAATACTCTTCTTTCTTTCTTTTCTTTGCTTGCTTTCTTTCTTTCTTTCTTTGTACCAGAATACTCTTCTTTCTTTTCTTTCTTTTGACCGAATTCTCTTCTTTCTTTCTTTCTTTCTTTCTTTGTACCAGAATACTCTTCTTTCTTTCTTTGTACCGAATACTCTTCTTTCTTTCTTTCTTTGTACCAGACTTTTCTTTTTTTTTCTTTCTTTCTTTTGACTCTTCTCTTTCTCTTCTTTCTTTCTTTCTTTCTTTGTACCGACTACTCTTCTTTCTTTCTTTCTTTGTAACGAATACTCTTCTTTCTTTCTTTCTTTGTAACGAATACTCTTCTTTCTTTCTTTCTTTGTACCGAATACTATTCTTTCTTTCTTTGTACCGACTACTTTTCTTTCTTTCTTTGTACCAATACTCTTCTTTCTTTCTTTCTGTGTGCCAGATACTCTTCTTTCTTTCTTTCTTTTTGACCGAATACTCTTTTCTTTTCTTTTCTTTGTACCAATACTCTTCTTTCTTTCTTTCTTTGTACCAGATACTCTTCTTTCTTTCTTTCTTTGTACCGAATACTCTTCTTTCTTTCTTTTTTGTACCAGATACTCTTCTTTCTTTCTTTCTTTTGACCAGATACTCTTCTTTTTTCTTTCTTTGGCTTTCTTTCTTTCTTTGTGCAATACTCTTCTTTCTTTCTTTTCTTTCTGTACCAGAATACTCTTCTTTCTTTCTTTCTTTGTACCGAAATACTCTTCTTTCTTTTCTTTCTTTTGACCGAATACTCTTCTTTCTTTCTTTCTTTGTACCGAATACTCTTCTTTCTTTCTTTCTTTGTACCGAATACTTTCTTTCTTTCTTTCTTTGTACCAGAATACTCTTCTTTCTTTCTTTCTTTTGACCAATATAATCTTCTTTCTTTCTTTCTTTGTATACTCTTCTACTCTTCTTTCTTTCTTTCTTTTGCTTTCTGTACCAATACTCTTCTTTCTTTCTTTCTTTGTACCGAATACTCTTCTTTCTTTCTTTCTTTGTACCGAATACTCTTCTTTCTTTCTTTCTTTGTACCGAATACTCTTCTTTCTTTCTTTCTTTGTACCGAATACTCTTCTTTCTTTCTTTCTTTTGACCGAATACTCTTCTTTCTTTCTTTCTGTGTACCGAATACCCTTCTTTTTTTTTCTTTCTTTCTTTCTTTCTTTCTTTTGAATACTCTTCTTTCTTTCTTTCTGTGTACCAGATACTCTTCTTTTTTCTTTCTTTGTACCGAATTCTTTCTTTCTTTGTACCAATACTCTTCTTTCTTTCTTTCTTTTGACCGAATACTCTTCTTTCTTTCTTTCTTTGTACCGAATACTCTTCTTTCTTTCTTTCTTTTGACCGAATACTCTTCTTTCTTTCTTTCTTTGTACCGAATACTCTTCTTTCTTTCTTTCTGTGTACCGAATACTCTTCTTTCTTTCTTTCTTTTGACCGAATACTCTTCTTTCTTTCTTTCTTTGTACCGAATACTCTTCTTTCTTTCTTTTTCTGTGTGCAGATACTCTTCTTTCTTTCTTTCTTTGTACCGAATACTCTTCTTTCTTTCTTTCTTTGTACCGAATACTCTTCTTTCTTTCTTTCTTTTGACCATGTACTCTTCTTTCTTTCTTTTCTTTTGACCAGATACTCTTCTTTCTTTCTTTCTGTGTACCAGATACTCTTCTTTCTTTCTTTCTTTGTGCAGATACTCTTCTTTCTTTCTTTCTTTTGTACCGACTACTCTTCTTTCTTTCTTTCTTTGTACCAGATACTCTTCTTTCTTTCTTTCTTTGTACCAGATACTCTTCTTTCTTTCTTTCTTTCTTTGTACCAGATACTCTTTTCTTTCTTTCTTTGTACCAGAATACTCTTCTTTCTTTCTTTCTGTGTACCGAATACTCTTCTTTCTTTCTTTCTTTGTACCGACTACTCTTCTTTCTTTCTTTGTACCGATACTCTTCTTTCTTTCTTTCTTTTGTACCAGATACTCTTCTTTTCTTTCTTTCTTTGTACCGAATACTCTTCTTTCTTTCTTTCTTTGTACCAGATACTCTTCTTTTCTTTTTCTTTGTACCGACTACTCTTCTTTCTTTCTTTTTTTGTACCGTATATTCTTTCTTTCTTTCTTTGTACCGAATACTCTTCTTTCTTTCTTTCTTTGACCGAATACTCTTCTTTCTTTCTTTCTTTGTACCGAATACTCTTCTTTCTTTCTTTCTTTGTGCCAGATACTCTTCTTTCTTTCTTTCTTTGTGTACCGAATACTCTTCTTTCTTTCTTTCTTTTGACCGAATACTCTTCTTTCTTTCTTTCTTTCTTTGTACCGACTACTCTTCTTTCTTTCTTTCTTTGTACCGAATACTCTTCTTTCTTTCTTTCTTTTGACCGAATACTCTTCTTTCTTTCTTTCTTTGTACCGAATACTCTTCTTTCTTTCTTTCTTTGTACCGAATACTCTTCTTTCTTTCTTTCTTTCTTTCTTTCTTTTACCGAATACTCTTCTTTCTTTCTTTGTACCGAATTTCTTTCTTTTGACTTTCTTTCTTTCTTTCTGTGTACCGAATACTCTTCTTTCTTTTCTTTCTTTTGTACCGAATACTCTTCTTTTCTTTCTTTCTTTTTTTACCATACTCTTCTTTCTTTCTTTGTACCAGATTTTCTTTCTTTCTTTTGTACCATCATATTCTTCTTTTCTTTCTTTCTTTGTACCGAATACTCTTCTTTCTTTCTTTCTTTTGGCAGATACTCTTCTTTTTTCTTTCTTTGTACCAAATACTCTTCTTTCTTTCTTTGTACCGAATACTCTTCTTTCTTTTTTTCTGTACCGACTACTCTTCTTTCTTTCTTTGTACTTTCTTTTGAATACTCTTCTTTCTTTCTTTCTTTCTTTGTACCGAATACTCTTCTTTTCTTTCTTTCTTTGCAAGAATACTCTTCTTTCTTTCTTTCTTTGTACCGAATACTCTTCTTTCTTTCTTTCTTTGTACCGACTACTCTTCTTTCTTTCTTTCTTTCTACCGTATACTCTTCTTTCTTTCTTTCTTTCTTTTCTTTCCCTTTCTTTGTACCAGGCTCTTCTTTCTTTCTTTCTTTTGACCGAATACTCTTCTTTCTTTCTTTCTTTTGTACCGAATACTCTTCTTTCTTTTTTCTTTTGTACCAATACTCTTCTTTCTTTCTTTCTTTTGTACCGAATACTCTTCTTTCTTTCTTTCTTTGTACCAATACTCTTCTTTCTTTCTTTCTTTGTACCAGATACTCTTCTTTCTTTCTTTCTTTGTACCGAATACTCTTCTTTCTTTCTTTCTTTGTACCGAATACTCTTTCTTTCTTTCTTTGTAACAGATTTCTTTCTTCTTTCTTTCTTTCTTTCTGTGTACCAGATACTCTTCTTTCTTTCTTTCTTTTTTAACAGATACTCTTCTTTCTTTTTTTTTTTTTACTCTTCTTTCTTTCTTTCTTTTTTACCGAATACTCTTCTTTCTTTCTTTGTACCGACTACTCTTTTCTTTCTTTCTTTCTGTGTACCTTTCTACTCTTCTTTCTTTCTTTTCTTTTGTACCGAATACTCTTCTTTCTTTCTTTCTTTTGACCGAATACTCTTCTTTCTTTCTTTCTTGTACCAGATACTCTTCTTTCTTTCTTTTGTGCCGGATACTCTTCTTTCTTTCTTTCTTTGTACCGACTACTCTTCTTTCTTTCTTTTGACCAGAATACTCTTCTTTCTTTCTTTCTTTGTACCGGATACTCTTCTTTCTTTCTTTGTACCGAATACTCTTCTTTCTTTCTTTGTACCGAATACTCTTCTTTCTTTCTTTGTACCGAATACTCTTCTTTCTTTCTTTCTTTGTACCGAATACTAAACTTTTACTTTCTTTTCTTTCTTTGTACCAATACTCTTCTTTTCTCTTTCTTTCTTTCTTTCTTTCTTTCTTTGCCGAATACTCTTCTTTCTTTCTTTCTTTCTTTGTTCTTTCTTACTCTTCTTTCTTTTCTTTCTTTGTACCGAATACTCTTCTTTCTTTCTTTTGTACCAGATACTCTTCTTTCTTTCTTTGGCCTTGTACCCTTACTTTCTTTCTTTCTTTGTACCGAATACTCTTCTTTCTTTCTTTCTTTGTACCGAATACTCTTCTTTCTTTCTTTCTTTTGACCTAATACTCTTCTTTCTTTCTTTTCTTTGTACAGAATACTCTTCTTTCTTTCTTTCTTTGTAACCAATACTCTTCTTTCTTTCTTTCTTTGTACCAGAATACTCTTCTTTCTTTCTTTCTTTTTGATACCTTCTTTCTTTCTTCTTTCTTTTTTTTCTTTCTTTTTGACCGAATACTCTTCTTTCTTTCTTTTCTTTCTGTACCAAATACTCTTCTTTCTTTCTTTCTTTTAACCGAATACTCTTCTTTCTTTCTTTCTTTGACCAGATACTTTCTTTTCTTTCTTTCTTTCTTTTTTTTTCTTTGTACTCTTCTTTCTTTCTTTCTTTCTTTGTACCAGAATACTCTTCTTTTCTTTCTTTCTTTGTACCAGATACTCTTCTTTCTTTCTTTCTTTTGACCAATACTCTTCTTTCTTTCTTTCTTTGTACCCAGAATACTCTTCTTTCTTTCTTTCTTTGTACCGAATATTCTTCTTTCTTTCTTTCTTTTGACCAGATACTCTTCTTTCTTTTCTTTCTACTTTCTTTCTTTTATTCTTTTGTATGATACTCTTCTTTCTTTTATTCTTTTGTTACCGGACCTTTCTTTGACCGAATACTCTTCTTTCTTTCTTTCTTTGTACCGATACTCTTCTTTTCTTTCTTTCTTTGTACCAGATACTCTTCTTTCTTTCTTTCTTTGTACCGAATACTCTTCTTTCTTTCTTTCTTTGTACCGAATACTCTTCTTTCTTTCTTTCTGTGTACCGAATACTCTTCTTTCTTTCTTTCTTTTGACCGAATACTCTTCTTTCTTTCTTTCTTTGTACCGAATACTCTTCTTTCTTTCTTTCTTTTGACCGAATACTCTTCTTTCTTTCTTTTTCTGCTTTCTTTCTTTCTTTCTTTTGTGTCTACTCTTCTTTCTTTCTGTAACTTCTTTTCTTTCTTTCTTTCTTTTGTACCGAATACTCTTCTTTCTTTCTTTCTTTTTACCAGATACTCTTCTTTCTTTCTTTCTTTGTACCGAATACTCTTCTTTCTTTCTTTCTTTCTTTGTGAATACTCTTCTTTCTTTCTTTCTTTGTGCCAGAATACTCTTCTTTCTTTCTTTCTTTGTACCGAATACTCTTCTTTCTTTCTTTCTTTTTACCAGAATACTCTTCTTTCTTTCTTTCTGTATACCAGATACTCTTCTTTCTTTCTTTCTTTGTGTACCGAATACTCTTCTTTCTTTCTTTCTTTTTACCGAATACTCTTCTTTCTTTCTTTCTTTGTACCCAGATACTCTTCTTTCTTTCTTTCTGTGTATCGAATACTCTTCTTTCTTTCTTTCTTTGTACCAGAATACTTCTTTCTTTCTTTCTTTGTACCGAATACTCTTCTTTCTTTCTTTCTTTGTGTACCAATACTCTTCTTTCTTTTTTTTTCTTTGTACCGAATACTCTTCTTTCTTTCTTTCTTTTTACCGAATACTCTCTTTCTTTCTTTCTTTGTACCAGATACTCTTCTTTCTTTCTTTCTTTTGTACCAGATACTCTTCTTTCTTTCTTTCTGTGTACCGAATACTCTTCTTTCTTTCTTTCTTTTGACCGAATACTCTTCTTTCTTTCTTTCTTTGTACCGAATACTTTTCTTTCTTTCTTTGTACAGAATACTCTTCTTTCTTTCTTTGTACCGAATACTCTTCTTTCTTTCTTTGTGTGATATGCGGTAGAAGTCCTCATACCCATAATTCAGAGTAGTTCCGATATGATGACGGGTTTGCATATAATGCAGCATGTGTAATATAGATATAACTTAACAAAACACAGGAACTTATCGCAATATATGAAAAATTAATTGTCTCACAAATGTAACTATTAATTTGCAATGTTTAATGGTCAATAAATTTTATTTGTAATTGTCTTTCTTATTTCTTTTCTCAGTTCGCTTACTTTTCCCTGTTCAATTTCTATAAAATAAGGCATTTCTGAAAATTACGTGAACTTGTACATTCTATACTACTGAACAAAGATTTTCTTCATGAATTTGATGACCTAAGTCTTCATCATTATTCATATTTTCACCATTATGAGAAGAATTTGATTCTTCCTCCATTACTTGACAAGCCAAAACATTTTGAATCGATTCTACTGATGAATTCTTTTGTAATTTATTAGCGTCTTCATTTATCCATTCATTTAAATCATCCGAAGTGAGAATATTCAGTGGATCTTATTCAAGCGCAGCCTTTACCGTTTCATTAAGATTCTGCAATTCATGTTTGTTAATTTTCAAATTCAACGAATTAGGAGCTTCGTCCAGTTTTTCAATAATCTCTAATTTCTGATGTAATGTGAAAGAATTTATTTTCCTTTTTCTTCCAATTGAAGTTCCTTCTGTACGAGACATTATGGGCTGAGAGATTTCAATTTACTAACACTTATTTGTCAAACGAAAAATATTAGAATGTAGCATAAACCTAAATAGCAACACTAAAAATTCCGGATATGATGTCTTTCGGGTATTATGACTTGTACTGTTCTTGATTTTTTTCTCATTCATTTGCGTTTTTGAATATTAGTTTTTCTATAAACGATATGAATTGTCTCCATTTAATTCCTTGTTTTAATTCGCAATATTTAATCAATTAGGTCAATATGTACTGTTTAGATTTTCAGATTGCGTAGTATTAATTTATTTCTACCAGACGATATGATTTTAATACTCTATGACTTTAAATGAATTAAAATTATGTGCCCCCTTTTCGTTGTTTTTCATTTTAAATATTCCTTTAATTTATTTTTGGGGAAATTGTTTTTTTGTTCTTTTTTTCACTTGATCAACTTTCATCGAATTTTTTTTGCCTGCATTTTTTACGTTAATATTCTCAAAATGTTATGACTTTCCCAATCGTCGATAATTGAAGTATATTCATTTTTTCACTCTAAATGAAACATGATCAGCTTTATTTCTTTTTTGTTAATTTTACGCAAGGCATAACACTATCTTGAGTAGATAGACACGAGAAATGTAATATATATATATATATATATATATATATATATATATATATATATATATATGGTGGTACTCGTTTGGAAAAACCTCAGATAGTTCAACTTCCAGTAGAATAAATCGGTGCCGGAGAAAAAATGTGGAATAAAAAGAAAAAGAACCAAGAATATTAAAAAATTCAAACACAATCGTGTTTAAGCTCCAAGTCAAAGAAAAAAAACAGGTAAAATACATCTACGTAAAAGTGCTCAATACACTAAGTAGAGGCAAAACCTAAGATATCTTAGGTATCTCATATATATATATATATATATATATATATATATATATATATATATATATATATTAACAATTATTTGCTATACATCCTTTTCTCAATGAAAGGTTTCCCAATGAAAGAGCGTCCTGGGTATGACGATAAACATCATCCGCGTTCTGAGAAAGACGATAAACTAAGTCAAAGAGCAAGGCCTCTGATCAGGTGGATTTGAGGAGCATGGAACAACCTCTTAATTGCTGGTATTCCCAGGTCCACAATGACCCCGGCGTGGTAGCACCAGTTAAGGGCTCAGTTATGGGCAAAAAGTTAATTATTACCAGCAATAACTTTTTGAAAAAAATTATTAGCAGCAATACAATTTTGAAGAAAAATATTACGTCAGATTTTTGACAAAACAAAATATCAGCAGCAATAAAAAAAAAATTGTCGGCATTAAATAACTCATTGAGGTTGATATGCCGTAAAAAAATGAACCTAACAAACCACTATATATATATATATATATATATATATATATATATATATATATATATATATATATATATATATATACGTGAATGATTTTTTTTTTTTTTCTTTATGTTTTCATCACTTTTGTTATAGAATATTTCACACAGTGAAAATAGATGTTCAGGAATGGTGAAAAGTTTAAATAAGTAAAAACTATCGTATTAATAAATAGATCAATTACATTCATATGTATATATATATATATATATATATATATATATATATATATATAATATATCTAGATATTGATTAAGATTTAAATTTATAATGAACAGATTTCTAATATAGTACTCAATATTTGGAAAAAACATTATATATATATATATATATATATATATATATATATATATATATATATTAGTTATAGATAAGAAATATTTAATATGAACCAACCCCTTGAATAGTCGACACATCGTTACGAAACTGCAGAGTCGGAGACAATTGATATTACAGATAATTAGAGTAGGCAATTTAAAAATCATATATATATGTATGTATATATATATATATATGTGTGTGTGTGTGTGTGTGTGTACATTTAATTGAATAGAACAAGGTGTATATTTATACCTATGTACATTTCATTGAATGCAACAAGGTGTCTTGATTATTTTTTTATACATTTTCTCATGTTTTTCGTTTCAGATGATAAATTATATAAAAATTGTCCAATTGTTCTTTTTATCTGAGCGCTTTCGGCTGTACGTTTAGCCATTTTCAAGACTGAAATATATTAACTGCTAATTTCTTGTCATATATATATATATATTAACTTTGAGATGGGATAAATGATACCAATCAATCGTTATTGTAGAATATTTATTGTTAGAGTCTCCAGAGTGATGCAAAAGTAGGTATACAGTAAGCATAATACTTGTATTGATATGTTCATATATTTAATACAATACGTTTTATTCATGAATGTATACATACTTTTGCGCACCTTTGTAATAACTTGAAACTAGTTTATTTTTTCACTACTTGCCCATATCTGGGACTCTAACAGTTGCTACCACCCCGAGTAACGGTGGACCTGCGAACAACAGCATTTAAGAGGTGGTTCCACGCTCCCCAACCTTGATCAGAGGCCTTGCTGCCGGATGTAGTTCATCGTCATACCCCGGACGCATATTATAAGCGTTTTCAAAACCATATACTTAATTCTTTTTTTGGATCGTGACGAGTGAAACATCTCGAAATGAGAAGTCGATTTTGGATAAACCTTGTCATGTTTCTATAATTTGATAACAATGGTTTCTCTAGATAAATTTTGAGCACTTTATTGACCAAATTCTGCTTACTTTGACTTACCTTAAATTACATGATATTAAGTATATCAGTAGGTCTTATTACTTTTACTTCTGATATCTAAAGGTGCCCATGAACCGTACGAAAGACAACCTCAAAAGTGAATCATGATATTTGAAGGAGCTGAAAATGTTGAACAGATATTAAAAAAACCCCATAGAACTAATTTCAAAACGTCGGCTAGATAATAATAATAATAATAATAATAATAATAATAATAATAATAATAATAAAGAAATGGCGATAAAGATGTTAGAAAATAGTTAAATGGATAATTATAAGGAAAAATAGACTGAACATGGAAAATATTAAGAGTAAAATCTGATCATCTGATCTGGATTGGGTGATCTTTTTCAACGTTAGAATCCAAGATGATTTTATAGTTTTATTCTCTAAGATTCTGTTTTATGCATATAGCGTTAATTTCTAGAGTCAGTTTCCAGATATTTGAACAGCTCCCAGTGGATTACACGTCCCGTTCAATTATACCAATTATCGTCATCTTTCAGAGAAAAAATACAAAATTCAATTATTATCATTATTATTATTATTATTAATAATAATAATAATAATAATAATAATAATAATAATAATAATAATAATAATTGGGAACAACTAGCAAAGAACCGCAACGTCTGTGTCATTCTGTTCAAGAAGGAGTCATGGAGGGCGATAAACTAAAACGGAAACCAACAACTGGTGAACAGAAGACAAGGCAGAAATTAGAAAGAACAATCTCAAACGTTCGTTCCACATTCCAGTTTCGTCTACGAAACCTGCGGAAGAATCTGCCATGCAAAGATCGAACTGCTACGCCTCTCCAGATGCTGCTCATAAAAAGTGTATTTTGATCAAACAGATCACTACAATTCTCTCACGAGATAAACGGATGCCTACTACCAATACCATTATTATTATTATTATTACTACTACTACTACTAATACTACTACTACTGGTGATGCATTTGAATGGTCACGCCTGATCTCTTGTGGTCGACAGTGAAGATTGTGTTAAATCAAGTCTGCTCAGATCTCAAGTACCTTTTCCACTACCCTTGCAGTAATTTTGTGGTATGTACTGTGTAAAACATTACTCTGGTGCCCAATATATCGACTTTTTGCTCATAGTTCAAATTGATCCTATTATTAATGATTTGATATTCCCTGTTTTTCTCGGCTCTCGGGTAAGTTCCTTGTATCTTTCTAACATTTAATTTTTCTTTACATTAATTCAGTAGTCAAACTGAATAGTTATGTCCAAATTCTGGTAAGTTCATTTTTTTTTTTTTTATTCACAACTATCACATTCAGTCTTCATGCTTGGGTGAAGCGATCTGTCTCATTACCGAATTCCCCGAATATATATATATATATTTTTTTTTTTCATTTGCATTTCCAGAGCAGTTTCTGGTTTCAATTCGCAACTGATATCAATTCGCAACATTGTTGAACAAAAGTCGTCAGCGCTGTTCCTAAAATATGACAGTTGCCAAGCCTTTCATACCTTTTGTATTATTCTTTTTTTTTCTTTTTTTTTCAGTTTACTTACCAACCTGTGATGATAAGATATAAGCCATACCGTTTTTGTTCCATGCAACTTAAACACTTAGGGAGATCTTTTTGCCAGAGAAGCGAAAGTATTTCTCGTTCTAGCTGAATTTGTGTGATTCGGTGTCTTCTATCAAATAAATAAGAAATAAGTTCGTAACTGGATTAATCACAACTTGTCTACGTCACGGCCAGTATTTAATTGTGCCTCAGATCCAACTCGAATCACTAATGACACGGTCAGGTTGCGGCAATCACCATTTAGTTAAATCAAAGAAACGCTTGACAATGGTACTGCTCGTTAATTGTCGGCACGATCTCATGCACCGGAAGCTCGGGAAAGAAATCACGTGACCAATCTAGTGCTGTACATATTGAGTTGTGACATCGAACGGCTAGCCGTAAATTAAGTGCATGTCAAAATCAGAACCCCTCCCCCTTTCTCTTTTACATATTATCTCTCCTTTTATAGCTTGGTATATTTTCTTTTCATTTTATTTTATTTTCATTTTAGTTCTGTTTCTTGTTTTAATTTTCTTTCAGTTATATTTTCCACTTATTGTTTTCTTATGTTGTTAATCTATCTTCTTCTAGAACAGTAGATCTTTATCACGTCAAAAGAGAAAGGAAGAATATGAGAAAATCTTTCCATTTGCATTCACTTTTTAAAAAGAAATTGTTTATTTAACTTTTTCTCTTCTAATAACTTGACACGTCTTTTTTAATGAATGTTTAGTTAACTTTTTTTTACTTCTTTTTTTCTTTCATTATCTCAAACTTTCATTCAATTTTCTTGATCGTCTTCTATTTTTCCTCTTTTGTCTTTCTTTCCTTCTTTCTTTCGTTCTTTTTTTTTTCGTTTTTCTTTCTTTATTTATTTCTTTCCTTCTTTCTTTCTTTCTTTCGTTTTCTTTCTTTCGTTATTTCTTTCGTTTTTCTTTCTTTCTTTCGCTATTCTTTCTTTCTTTCTCCTTCAATTTTCTTTCATTCTGTCTTTCCTGTTTAACTTGCCGAACTAACTTTCGATGACTTCGTTGATTTTCCTTAATTATTTCGTCTTAAATTTTTTCCCTATTTTTTTTCTTCCATTCACTTTCCTTTTCTATTCTTCACAAAACATTTATTTTGGATGACACTTTTTTTTTTAAATAAACACTTGCAAATTGACATTCGCTTGTTTGCAACTAGTTTCTTTCTTTGTCTCCTTCTTTATTTTGAGCGTTCGTTAGTTCGTTTATTCGTACTTTTCTTTCTTTTTCTTTTTTTTATGTCTTCCTCCTTTTCTATTTTTATTGTACTTTAATTAGTCGCCCCCTCCTCGCATTCGTTTGCTTCTTCCCTCCATTTTTTTTTATTATTTCTCTCATTTTGTTTATTTCAGCCACTCTTTCTTTCTTTTTTTCTTTCTACCCACCTCCTTAATTTTTCTTTCTTTCTTGTATATTATTTAGACATTTCCTTCTTTCATTTCTCTTTCTTTTCTACATATTATTTTTTCTAAATTTTTGTTTATCTCTTCCCTCTATTTTTTTTCTTGCTTTCTTTTTTTCTTTCGTTCCCTCCTATTCTTTCTTTTTTTTTTTCTTAATTTCCTTTTTGTTTGTATATTATTAAGTATTTCCCTTTTTTCATTCATTTTCTTCTTTCCTTCATATATTTCTTTTATTTCTTTCGTTTGTTTCTTTCTTTCGTCTTTCTCTCCATCTTCGTTTTATTCCTTCAATGTCTTGATGTCTTTTTCATCTGTTCTGTTAATGTTCCCATTTTCTTTCCTCGTCATTACTCCTTTATTTCCTTTTTTTTTTCTTCTTGTTTCCCTGTTTTAAGCAAATTCGTTAATGTCAAACGTATTATTCTTTGAGGAATTGATTGATATTTCTCCCTTCATCTCGATTTTAATTCATTCTGTCTTTCCCGTTCTTGTTCATTTTTTCTTTATATTTTATTACAGTTTTAAAAACCAATCCTTCGTTAAGTTTTTTTTTTTTTTTTTTTTTCAAATTATTTGTCTCATTCCTTTCGGTGTTCTGTTAAATCAATGTTTCTCCTAACGGAACAAAAGCTAAACAAACTCTGATTTCGAGACGAATCGTAAAGCTTAAATCTGTTGAAGGCCTCTTTTTATATATATATATATATATATATATATATATATATATATATATATATATATATATATATATATATATATAGATAGATAGAGAGAGAGACTATCAATTTTTATTAAGTTGTTTCTTAAATATCAACAATGTATATATATATATATATACAATGTATATATATATATATATACAATGTATATATATATATATATATATACAATATATATATAGATAGATAGAAGTCTATTAGTTTTTTATTAAGTTGTTTCTTAAATATCGACAATACATATATATACAATGTATATATATATATATATATATATATACAATATATATATATACAATATATATATATATATATACAATATATATATATATAGATAGACAGAGAGAGAGAGAGAGAGTCTATCAGTTTTTTATTGTTGTTTCTTAAATATCGACAATATATATATATATATATATATATATATATATATATATATATATATATATATATATATATACATACATACATACAGGTAAAATGAGAAAAAATGATGGAAGTATATTTCCACTGTGCGTAATATTTAACAGCCTTGAAGCACCAGAATTGTGATTCTACAGAAAGATGCTGAGGATAACTTGTACTGAACATGTGAGCAACGACGAAGTTTTAGAGAAAATGAAACAAAAAGGACTGTTACACTTTACATTAAAAAAGAGTTAGTTGACATTTCTAGGCGACACCATGAAGAAAGAGGGCTTAGAGAATTTGATACTCATAGGACAGAGGCAAGAGGAACAGAGGAAATCAACGCACAACATATCTGACGAGCTTAAGCAAATGGAAGGCGGAAGAAGGTTTCAGGAAGATAACAAACAGATCTCAATTTATTAAGAACGGCAGGAAATTATGGAGAGCCATGATCACCAACTGCACAGAATAATATTGGGTGAAAAATTAATAAAAAAAAAAACATTAAATGAGCAAGATTTGTGGTCCTGGCCGATATTAAACTAACCATATCTAGAGATAATAGAGAAAATGTCAGAGAATTTTGGTTAAATTTTCTTATGAATTTTAATTCTTCAGTGAATGATTGAATAAGCTCATAGCAAATTCGACCTCAATAGAATATCCGTAGAAATTCCCTTATCGAATCGTTAATTGTTTGAGCTCATCAATTTTAACAAAATATTGCAATAACAATTATAAATATGAATACAGTGTGGCATTTCAACACGGTGTAATGGTTAGCAAGCTTATCTAGCTAGATTAATTACTGAGTAGTGAGTTCGATCCTCACTGGTTGTTCCATGCTTTCAGCCTTGTACCATATCTAAGCTACGCTGAGAAACTCACAACAAATATGAATGCTGGTTGTTATTTTAATAAATGGGTACAAATGAAAAGATTTGAAGTTGACATTTTTACATTTCACTGAAGCAGCCGTTAAACACTTGAGTGTTATCATCTCTTCTATATTTCTTTCTTTCATTTTGTCACTGGAACCAAGTAGTTCCTCTGACATGTCTTTTCTGTCTTACTACCGGATCAACACGGGATAATCCATTATATATGAGCTATTGGCTCGGCATAACGTACACACGATTGAAAAAACTAAAAGAGGGACAAGCAGAATTTTAATAAGATAATTTAATTATTTCATTTTCTTTATTTAACATTTTTAATGCTATTTCACCTTCTTTACATACTTTGAGTATCTGTCTATATTTCTGAGATGAGTTATTATGTACACTATTTACATTATTCGGACTATTGTCCTCATCTTTGCCGCCATGTTTATCACAAAGTTTCGTTTTGAGAGGGGAATTAACAGGAGATAACTGACATCCATTAGGCACGGCACGTGGAATTAGAACAGTCTACCCAAGTGAGCGAAATAAAAGGTTCAGTTCGTCATTCCAACCAACTGAAGAAAGCCGGAGCGTACAACGGCCGAAACGTTGTGATGATGGCGACAAAGATGAGAACAATAGTCTGAATAATGTAAATCGTGTACATTCTTTGAGATTATCATTTCAATTGCGTTTTTTTTTTTTAGTGAACGACGGAGGTTTGCTAAGTATTTTTGTTACATACCGTATTTTCTTGTGTCTGACTTGAGTATCATACGAACCTGTGTTTCTGAAGTTAAAACAGGAAATAAATTTCATTCTTGAATATAAAAATTACAGATACCCTAGTGCAATTTCTTTTCAAATGTTATACCATATTATCCATTAAAATTTCACTGTCGTACATATTAGGTTGGTGCAAAAATAATGACGTAATAATGTCGTTTTTTGACGTTAAAAAATACGTCAAAAATGGCATTATTACGTCATTATTTTTTCACCAAGCTAATATATTTCACTAAAATATTTAATTTTTCACGATATTAAAGAATAGACGTGAAAGGGATGTGTAGACATTGTGTGTTTCATTTATAGTCCGTTTCAAATACTTATTTTCGAATTTTCGGGTAAAGATTCTTTGTTGCAACATTAATGCTATCAAAACATGACAGTTCTTCTTTATTCTGTTTATTAATTTAGATTTGCTGTTTTTAAGTCAAAAATCGTTCAATTATGCTGATTTCCAATGAACAAACATTGACTACATATTAAATACCTTTTGTAAACATTTTTTATCAACACCTGCCTACTTTGAGTTTTATTATCTATTTGGCTAACTGAGTGGATTTGCAATTTTGCTGTTTCAAATAAGAGGTGATTTAAACCGAGTAAAAAATTCTGAAAACTTATACTTGTGTATAATAAACTCTCTCCATTTTTAACCTTTATTTATCGTTCAAAATTTCTGGTATTATACACAAGAAAATACGGTACATACTTTTTGTATAAGTTTCTCCTTTTTTTTTTTAAATCACATCACATCAGGGAAGGAAATAAAGCCACTGAGATGTAAGAGGTTACTGAGTTTTAGAGAGTATGACAAAAATACTATTAAAGACAGAGAATAACGAAAAAACAAGAATTAAGAAGACAGTATTTAATTATTTGAAGGTTAAAGTTCACAGGGAAGCAAAAACTGAAAGAGAATTCCACAAGCGAGAAGTGCGATAGAAGAAATTGTCAGCATAGAACTTACGGTTACCTCTAACTATTTCAATTTCGACGAAAATCTAGTACTGAGCTTAATCCTGGTCTAATTATCTTATTTCTCCTTCCCCTGTCTTTTCTTTATTCTTCTCTTTTAATATTTCATTCTTTTTTTTTTTTTTCATTAATTTTCTGAAATTTTGTTTTGATGATTGTAATCTTTTTTTTCTAAGAACAATCTCAACACGAAAGATGGACGTTACGCACCACGCTTACTTCCCAAAACGATGGTTGCAACGAGAACATCACATTTTTGTAACAATGAAACGGAACAGGAGTATTAAACTTGCTCGGGAAGTGGTGAAAGGTCGTTTTCAAAATTAGAAAGGAAGAATTGAGTAAGGACGAAAGAAAGGAAATGAAGGATGGTGTCCTCTTTCTTTTTAATTAAAAAAAAAAAAAACGATGCAGAAAATTGACAATAGGATGCCGTCGATGGAGAAGTGCTGTAGAAAATGAACAAAAACTTTTTTAAAAAAAGCAAAAACAAATTTTTTTTCAAAAACATTGTCTCGGAAAATTAGGATTATACACAATTTTTATTCATTTATTTATTATTAGAAAACATTATTTATAGAGTAAAATTCTAATAGTACTAAACATGTCTTTAAAACTAAAAAAATTAATAAGAAATGAAATATACATATATATATATATATATATATATATATATATATATATATATATATATATATATATTATATTTAACTAAATATCCGAGATAACTAACGTTTAAAATGAATTTTTTTGAAAGGGAAAAAATTTTAGAGGTATTTATTTTAGATTAAATTTCAAGCTGATAGATTAAATGTAATAATTACA